CATCGGGTAACTGCTGAGAGCGAAGACATCATTCAATAGCTCATATATAGATGGATTATGAATAGAGAGGTCTCTCCCCGCTGTTCCATCTCCTGCCACTCCTCCTCCTCCCTGCCCTATCCCTCCCATTCTTCGCCCCAATGTCAGCATATCAAGTGCATATAACTACCAGTTAGAGTTACCCAGCTCGAAGTAAGATTTAAGAAAGCAGGTGTAAACGAGGTCTACCTCAAACCGACGTATTTGTCCAGAGCAGCTCTCATTGATTCAATTTTTGAGGCCACTTCGATTTCGCTATATAATCGCCCCTCGAGTATTTCCATTTCTAACCACATAAGGAAGCTTACCAGTGCCGCACTATCTCGGATCTGAAACCCAGCTACTTCAGGAGCATAAAAAGTAAATAATAAAGTCTACAGCAGTTTCATTCTTACTTACATGGCTATTGCGCATGCCTTCCAATTCTACGGGATTTTTGACTCCTTTCATTACTTGTACAGGACTGCCGTCAACAACTGCCGAAGTTTCAAAAATTTGCCCGAAAAGGTAGTTGGTGTTTCTTGGGACGAAAACCTGTACATAATCATTATAGCTATTTTATGAAGAGTTCCTGGACAATTCAAAGTACGACTCAGGAGGCGCTATAGCTTTCACAGCACTGGAACTATAGGTCTCCGCATGCAACAGAGGTGGTAATAGTACAACCGCCCTTGGACCTGTAGATTGACCTAGTTGCAGCGCAAAGACAACTGTGGCGCCTCCTGACCCGCAAACAGCAGCAGTTTCCTTACCCTAGGCTTGTGCTTGTTGAGCCCTGCCTGTTGTTCATACCATTTTGTCATGAAATCGTATGCATCGGCGTATGGATGAAGGGTCACGCCTTCGCTCTCAAGGTACTTACGCACCTGGAATATTACTGGTAGTGTAAGCGGAGGGAATATGTTATAGCTGTTATAGCTTACTTGTTGTTCCTGGAGGGCGTGGCCGAAACTCTTTTTGAAGAATAAAAGGATAAAGGTTTTGGCGTTAATCAATCCCGTCTGAGGGATGCGCCCCCGCCCTCAACTTTTCTTTCACATAAAAATTTACGAAACTTATGAAAATTCGCGAGCGTTGAAAGAAAAGATGTAAAATGGATTTTTGTTTAAGACTCAAAAAGGTTCTATGTTCACTCAAAGTTCCCACTGGTTGCCACATCTGCTGCTCAGCAGCCAGCGTTTATTTCGAAAAGAGAGGTTCCGGTATCCCTTTGAATAAAATATATTTGGTGCGATCCAGCGATACCATGGGGAAGATGCAAAGAGACGCTGGTCGTGAGCAAAACTTCATATAGCTTGCATAGGGGGAACTACTGGAAACCGATTATCGACCTACAGCTGAGTAGAAGAGCTTCCCGAAGGGAAAACCAAGCTGTAGAACTGTCAGGTAGGAATTCCTCACCACATCATCAGCTTTGTCCATGAATAGGTGTACTTCAGAAGGAGTTACCAAAACATATGAATAAGCCAATGGGTTGTACTTGATATCAAATCCTCTAATATTGAGTAACCCTGAAAAAGAAAAGTCTGACCCTGATGATGTTTGATCCTCGAATTTCACGAAACACGTAATCTCCACTCACACATAATATCGTCAAGTGCTGAAAGAATTATAGAATCGCATTTCTTCTGAGCAATTCGTTTGCGTAAGTCCGTCAATTTGTCCTTCACAGGACACCCGTGCTCATCTGGTGACAATATAATAGGCTAAATAAAGAAATTTATACATAATGCACAAACAAATCAATAAACAGTAAATGAACCAACAGCAAACACGACGAACGTAGACGGGTCTTTTAAACTTACACTCAACACTCCCAACTCAACCATTTTTTCAAACTC